TGAAAACTGCAAGAGACTATCTTTCTGTTCATTCTACATTAATTGTGCTGTATTGTAGTGATATTCATATCTATTATATATGAATTTTATGGAACCCTTTTAAGTTGACATCTCTGAGCTTGTCTTTTGGCTCACGTAGATATCTTTGACATATTGTCTGCATGATTGTTGAAGGGCGAATGAAGTGTTGAAGGCAAAATGGATTAATCAGTCACTGTAATTCCTCTATGAACACTCCCCTGATAAACTATTCTTTGAAATGGCCTGAGTTCATCACAAAGATGAAAATAAATAGTTGTATTTTTAAAAAGCCTTTAACTTATTAAATTTCATAAAGACTATTTCTTCTAAATTTGCCTCTTATGCTGGTATTTTATTATTAAATTAATTTCAGAGGCATTTCACTGTAGTTCTTTTCTTTAATTGAGTTTATAAGCCAAATAATTGGGATTAATTTTGATTTTTGTTAAAATTTAGGTAGAAAGTGGTAGATTTGTGTCTTTGTTGTTCAGTCGCCCAGTCATGTCTGACTCCTTGCAACTCCATGGACTGCAGCACGCCAGGCTTCCCTGTCCTTCATCATCTCCTCGAGTTCGCTCAAATTCATGTCCATTGAGTTGGTGATAAGATCCAGCCATCTCATCCTCTGTCGTCCCCTTCTCCTCTTGCCTTCAGTCTTTCCCAGCATCAATGTCTTTTCCAGTGAGTTGGCTCTTTGCATCAGGTGGCCAAAGTATTGGAGCTGCAGCTTCAGCATCAGTCCTTCCAATGAATATTTGGGGTTGTTTCCTTTAGAATTGACAGGTTTGATCTCCTTGCAGTCCAAGGGACTCTCAAGGGTCTTCTGGAGTCTTAAGCACCAGACCACCAGGGAAGTTCCTTTGGGCTCCACTATTAATTCTCCCACATTTGCAGTGACTTCCTCTGCTAAAGTCTTGAACCCCTGAATTTATTCATGAAGATTGGAGTCAATACGTTCCAAAATCCTGTTGCATTGATATTTTGACCTCTTCCCATGAATTGCAGATGTTAATAATGGCATCTAAAATGGTGAATTTTTTCCAGAAGTTTTTCAGTTGATTTGGCTCTGACCCATCAGAGAAATCACCATCTATGACAGCTATATAGTCTTGTGAAAGGTATTTCTTAAAGCGTAAGACTTGAAAGTCAGAATTAGTACTTGATCCATGAGCTGCCGAATGGATGTTGTATGAGCGGGCATGAAACCAGTGTGAGTGTTGTTGTGTATCTTCGTCAGAGACCCTGTGTGACCAGGTGACCATTGCAAATAAGCAGTACTGTTTTGAAAGGAATCTTGTTTCTGAGTAGAAGATCTCAGTAATGGGCTTAAAAAACTCAGTACATCCTATGGTAAACATATGTGCCGTTATCTAAGCTTTGCTCTTCCATTTGTAGAGCACAGGCAGAGTAGATTTGCATAATTCTTGAGGGCCTGGAGCTTTTGGAATGGTCCATGAGCATTGGCTTTGACTTCAAGTCAGCAGCTCCATTATCCCCGGACAAGGCAGTCAGCCTGTCCTGCGAGGCTCTGCGGCCAGACGGCGATTTCTCTTTGCTAGCTGTAAGAAAGCTTAAGATGACGTCTTCCTCCAGTAGAATGCTCTTTCGTCTACATTGCAAGTCTCTTGTTTAATGTAGCCACCTTCATTCATGATCTTAGCTAGATTTTTCTGGATAACTTGCTGCAGCTTCTGCGTTAGCACTTGCTGTTTCCCTTGCCGTTGCACTTGCATGTTATGGAGATGGCTTCTTTCTTTGAACCTCATGAGTCAGCCTCTACTAGCTTCAGACTTTTCTTCTTTATCTTCCTCAACTCTCTCAGCCTTCATAGAATTGGAGAGAGTTAGGCCTTGGTCTAGGTTTGGCTTTGACTTAAGAGAATGTGTTACTGGTTTGATCTTCTATCCAGACCACCAAAACTTTCTCCGTATCAGTAATAAGGCTGTTTAGCTTTTTATCGTTCATGTGTTCATTGGAGTAGCAGTTTCCATTTCCTTTAAGAACTTTTCCTTTGCATTCATCGCTTGACTATTTCAGGGCAATTTGTCTAGCTTTTGGCCATCTTGGCTTTCAACACTCCTTCCTTACTAAGGTTAATCATTTCTAGCTTCTGATTAAAAGTGAGAGACATGGGACTCTTCTTTCACTTGCACACTGTAGGGCTGTTGATTGGTCTTTCAGTTTTATTTTGTCTCAGGGAGTAGGGAGGCTGGAGGAGGGGGGAGATGAAGAATGGTCTTTGGAACAGGCAGAACATTGAGTTCACTGTCTTACACGGGCGTGGTTCGTGGCACCCCAGAATAATTGCGGGTGAAACATCAAGATCACTGCTTAACAGTTCATGGTAACAAATATGATCACAATTAAAAATTTTAAAATAGAATTACTGAAGTGTGACAGACACATAAAGTGAGCAAATGCTGTTGGAAAAATTGCTCTGATCTATTTGTTTGACAGAGGGTTGCCACAAACCTTCAGTTTGTAAAGAATGCAACATCTGTGAAGCAAAATAAAGCAAAGCGTGATACAAGTTATGCCTGCACTGGTTTAGGCTCCATTCATGGCATCGTTTTATCTTGGTCGTCTCTTTGGAGACACGGGAAGGCGCTCAGTCACGTGCGACTCTTTGCCATCCCCTGGACTGTAGCCTGCCGGGCTCCTCCGTCCATGGGATTTTCCTGGCAAGAGTACTGGAGTGGGTTGCCATTTCCTTCTCCAGGGGATCTTCCTGACCCGGGGATCGAACCAAGGTCTCCTGCATTGCAGGCAGACGCTTTACCTTCTGAGCCACCAGGGAAGCCGCTCTTTGGAGACATTATATTCAAATACAGTTATATTCTGAAGTTACTGGCTGTTAGGACTTCAATGTATGCATTTCAGGAGGACAAATCCAGCCCATTAAAGGGACATAAAATGAATTCTATGCTGATGTATTCGGCAACCAGTATGTTTGCGATGTGGAGCAGTTTATTTAATGTTACAAATAAATTGTATACTTTTCAAAATTGGATGTTAGGAATATCTTTTATTTTTCCTTTGACCCAGTTTGATTGTAGAGATGTGAAAAGGGTAGTTAAAGGCTGAGATGGTTATAAAAATAACAGCAGCAGCAGCCATGTCATCAAGTGTTGTAGTATGTCCTGGGCTTGGATCCTTGAGCACTGGATCTTTTCTGTGTCTCGGGGTGCTGCATGGTCAGCAGGAAATTAGGGCATGTCCATTTAAGGATAGGTTGAATTTTCTTTGCTTGTCCTTGGGAATCTGGGTGTAGATCCTGGCCTCAGTGCTCTGGGGCAGGGTCCAGGTTCATTGCTTTGTGAAGCAAGATGGAATTCTGTGTAAACCACTAATTCCTGAGGTATTTTTGAGTTTTCTGTGGGTACAGGCTTTTTACTCAATACGGAAAAGTTGAATTATTCAGGTAGTGTTCTTAGGTGACAGACTAGCTTGAAAATGTCCTAAATCAAGAAAGTCCTCTAAAGAATATTTTAAACTGTATCCTGTCTGGCTCGTAGCTCCTATACCCATCACTTTGTGGGTGCTCGATAAATAGTCGTAGAATGAATAGATTTCAGTTAAAGCGAAAGGGAGAAATACAGCCATAGAGGCAGTGCCCATTGGAGTCTCATGTTCGCACTGTCAGAAGAGCATTGCCTGCTCAGCCCTTGCAAGATTTCACTTGTTTTGTCAGCAAATATAGTGGGCATTGAATATTCACTCAATTGTAGACAGACAGAAGAAATAACTAGTTGGACCCTTGGTATTTTAGACCTCCCATGTGTTTGAGACTTGGAAACAATAGAACAGCAGTTTTGCCTGTCTGTATAGAAGCTCCCCATCCTGTAGGATGTCACAGATAAGAGGTGATTCTCACAGAGGACATTTTCTCTCCCACCAGTAGGTGGGATTGACGGTTGTGTGTGTTCTGCCTCAGCCTCTTGTCCGTTGCTTTATTACTCAGCTGGGTGGGGCTGCATTTGGAACTAAGATCTTGTTAAAAATGTTTCTTAATAGTCAAATTGTAAATGTCTTTAGATATAGTTTCCAGGATATTTGAGAAGTAGTAGGAAAAGGCAAAGAACTGAGTTGCCACAATTCTTTTTTGAAAAAAACTTTATATGGATGTATATACATTTGTTGTTTGATTATTTTCAATTTGTTCTTCAAAAAAGTGGAATAATGAGCAGCCTTTTGGGAACTGATGCCTATTTTTGGTAGAATTCTTCTTGTTAGTATTCATAATAGTGCTGTAACTACCTTATTGCTGTGTTTCTAGGCTTTTGATGCAGTTTGTACTTGTGATTTTCTTTTTCTTAGTTTTGGGTACTTAATGAAGAAGAAAGTTTAGATGTGGTATGAGAGAGTAAACAGACTTCCCTGGGGGCTCAGCAGTCAAGAATCTGCCTGCGATGCAGGAGACCAGAGTTCAAGCCCTGGGTCGGGAAGCTGCCCTGGAGGAGGTCATGGCAGCCCACTCCAGGACTCTAGCCTGGGAAGTCCCACGGACAGAGGGGCCTGGCGGGCTGCAGTCTGTGGGGCCGCACAGAGTTGGACACGACTGAGCGACTAAGCAGCCGCAGGAGAGAGAGTAAACTTTTGATTCCGTATTAAAAGAGTATTACGTCCAACTTGCTAATGCTGTTTGGGTTTTTTAAATTTTAAAAAATTCCTTAAATTAGAGATAAGTTACAAGTAGTTCAATTAGATACTGTAATTGTTAAGTATGAATAAATGTTTTTTGGCTTTCTCGTTTTTCTCATTGATATCTGAATTTGCACAGTTTTCAGAGTCTTTTTATCATTTCAGTATTAGTGACTTTTTGAGTCTCATGTCCATTCAGTGGAATTTCATTAACTGAAAATGTTTGCTAAATTTTTAGTTGTCTTTGTATGAATGAAACCCCTAAGGTTATACAAAATGCAATTGAGTGTGACTGAGTTTAAGTCAGACCTTTGTGATATATTTGTGTCTTAATTTAGGTTGGTTGAAGACCTTTGATGACTACTTTAGAGAGAAGACTCAGTATATTTTTAATAATATGGTTGTCAAGTTGAAAGAAGACCCACGGAGAAAATTTATATGGTCTGAGATCTCTTACCTTTGGAAGTGGTGGGAAACTATAGATATTCAGAAGAAGGATGCTGTAAAAAGGTTTGTTGTTTAAAACTATTGTTTTTTGAAATTAGGTAATATTAAATACATTAATTTTACAATGAAACATGTGTTGACTTTTCAGAAGGTGAAAATTCTTAGCTTTATAAATGAAACTTAAAATATTTCTCCATATCTTTTTATTACCTTGATTCTGGTTCATTTTTGAAAAAGCGACCTGAAACTTCTCCACTGAAATTCTGTGTTCCAACTTTGTCCTCGCAATGGAACTACTACGTCAAAGGGGCTTAATGTTTTAAAGCTGTTTTTGAAGCATGTAAATCAAAGTGATGCCTGTAAAGGTGGTTTCAGTGTGTTCTTCATTGAGAAATGTACCAATTTCTCTGCATATTAGGCAACAATGTAATGTTTTCTAAACCATATCAATTTAAGTATTGGAAAATTTGCATTTTTGATTAGTGATAGTGTTACATGTTTTCTCATATATGCAGGCAGAACTTTTTGTGAACTGCTTCATCATGTACTTTCCCTACTGATTTCTGAGAGTATTTATGCACACGTATGAACCCTTATTTTTTCTGAAGCTTTAAGTTTCTTCTTAATTCTTAGTGTTTGACAAATAGACTCCAAAGTTGTTATGTAATCTAATGTATTAATCTGTTTTCTTGATACTGGCTTTTCTGTCACACCCAAGTCTTACCCGACCTAGGAGGGAATCTTTCTTCCCCCCTCTTTAGTGTTTTTACTGCTCCCTTTTACAAACCCTCCGGTTTTCCCTTTGATGTGGTGTGATGAGGGCCTTTGCTCTACCGTCTCCCTCCTCCCGCCACCCGCCCGGCTTCCGGGATTTTAAGGCCTGTCTTAGCAGAAGCTACTTTTTTACTTACTCAGTGTCACACACGCACCCCTTACTGTATCATGTCCTGTGCTAAGTGCCTTAACGCCTGGTAACTGCTCATTCTGCGGCGATCCTGTGCAGTGAGTCCAGCGAGTGTCCTGATGGTGCAGATGGGCCACCCAGCTGGACATGCCCACTGCTTACCGCCCAGGCCAGCCTCCGCCCCACATGCTGTTCCCTTACACATTCATTCTTTCCACGGACTTGAAGTGCCATCTTTATTGTATTTAAATAAGCATTGATTTCTGGGCTTTCTGACCTCTTTTCATAGACTTTTCTGTCTGACTGTAATTGTTGCAAGTTTATGAGGTGTTTCATTAACAGACAGTTTAAATCTTCCCTTATTTTTCTTTATTGAAAAGTTCTTTTAATGAGTGACTGCTTAATTTTCCCAGAGAGCTTTAGGATTAGTTCTTCCTGCTCTATCCCCCCAAAAAGATGGGGAAGATGTTGAGAGGTCTTGACCTGAATGTGTAAAGGTATTTTCGGGAGAATTGGCTTTCCATTATTATCTATATGTTTTTTCCCTGATAGCATCCTTAAGATGCTCACGAGAGAGGTCAGAGGAAGTCGTAGCGAAGGGCCCCAGGCTCTGAGAGGCCCGCGCTCACCAGGAGCAGCGTGGCACCCAGAGCTCTGCCCCCGTCCCCGCGCGCGCTCTGTGCGGCCACAGGGAGTGCTCGTCAGGACGCTCTTCCAGGCAGCCACGGCGAGCCGGGGCTCCAGGACATCACACACAATGTGTTGGCTTTTACGTTGGAATGTTAGCAGCTAATTAGATTAACGTGAACATACACACATCCTTAGTTAAAATCAAGCTATCCCCTGGTTTGCAACTTTTCAAAAATTAAGAGCTGCCCTGCAATGCTCTATGGAATTGGTGTTTGTCAGAGATGTAATTTTTTTTAACTAAGTTTAAAGACAAATTTTTCTGCCTGTCTAGGCCTTATGTTGCTCCTTGACTATAAATAATGCTTTATAGTTTCTTAAATTATTATTTTATAGCATTTTACTTAGACTGTGCAGATTTTAAGATTTTATTCCATCTGTAGGTTTTTTTTTCCCTTATTATTTAGTGGGACCTGATTTTTTTCTTTATCTTGATTAGATTGGCTGAAGCTCTTACTAGTTTCATTGGTTTTTGTACTACCACTTGTTTCCTAAAAAGTTTTTTTCCTTTTTACTGATATTTACTCTTGACTTTTCTATTTTTATTTAATTCCTTCTGCCTGTTTTTTAACTAATGCTAAATGGGCCATTTGATTTACTTGAACAAGAAGTATTTCTCCCTCTGTGTTTGCCTTTTAGCACTGCTCTTAACTAGCATTCACATTTTTACGTGTTATTTTGTTAATATGATATTTTTTCCTAAATCATCTGTAACTGTATTATTGTTTTCTTTTGCCATATATTTGGGTATGTATAACTCACTATTAAATTTTCCATCTATCAATTCAAATACTTTTCAGCTTATCTGTTTTGCTCTTACTAATTAGTTTTTATTTCATTTTCTTATAATTCAGTTGTCTAGTTATCTCTGGTCTCTCTTTGGCATATGCTTTTTAATATTTTTTGTTATATTTACTGCATTTTATGCAACTTATTTCAAGGTTTTTTCTTCCCACTTCACATTCAGTTATCGGTCATGTAGAGCCTGTTCTTTTCTGGCTTCGAATTCATGGTTTTAACTATGCTTTTTAATGACCCTTTAGTTCTGGATTCTTTTTGTTGTTGTTTATGTGTCCAAACATTTTCTCTCTCTTTTTTTTTTTAACTCATCCCATGAGGAATAACATGTATCCACACCTGGATTGTATTTCAAAACAGAGAGTGTAACTTGAATCACATTCCTTCCTTTTCTAACCGGATACTGCTTCCATCTCATTCACCTGGTTTCCTTTTAGGAAACGGTCTCCAAACGCAGAAGTCACATCTTTCATTTTCCTGCCCCAGGTCAAACAGGTCAGCTATTACCTGACTCAGCTAGTCAGTGTTTTATTTCCCAGGGTTTTAAGCCTTTAGAGAGTGACGTGAGGGTGGACAGGTGAAAGGAAGGGAAACAGGATGGAGGGAAGGTTGGGATCATCCCTTGTAGCACTGGTGCATTCACGAGAGGCTTCCTACCCTCGGTCCCAGCCCCTGTCGTGCCTGTGGTGTGCCTTCTCATGGCTTCCAGTCCTTTGTTTAGCCTGGGCTTGTAGCTTGCCCTCAATCCTGTGTGCCCACGACAGCCCCCCAATACATTTCCTGTTCAGAGTCAGTCAGTATCGCTTGTGGGCAAGAAAGCCAGCTGATATGTAGTTGTTACTCAGTCACTCAACTGTGCCCTCCTCTGTGACTCATAAACTGCAGCGCACCAGGCTTCCCTGTCCTTTCCCATCTCTCTGAGTTTTCTCAGACTCATGTCCATTGAGTCAGTGATGCTGTCTGACCATCTCACCCTCTGTCATTCTCTTCTCCTCTTGCTCTGAAAGCTTCCCAGCATCAGAGTCTTTTCCAAAAAGAGCTGGCTTTTTGAATCAGGTGACCAAAGTATTGGAGCTTCAGCTTCAGAGCCAATCCTTTCAGTGAATATTCAGGGTTGATTTCCTTTAGGATTGACTGGTTTCATCTCCTTGCAGTCCAAGGGACTCTCAAGAGTCTTCTCCAGCACCACAATTTGAAAGCATCAATTCTTTGGCGCTCAGCTTTCTTTATGGTGCAGCTTTCACATCCATACATGACTGCTGGAAAAACCATAGCTTTGACTAGACAGACCTTTGTTGGCAAAGTGATGTTTCTGCTTTTTAATACACTGTTGAGATTTGTTATAGCTATTCTTACAAGAAGCAAGTGTCTTTTGATTTCGTGGCTACGGTCACCGTTTGCAGTGATTTTGGAGCCCAAGAAAATGAAATCTGACACTGTTTCCACATTTTCTCCATCTGTTTGCCAAGAAGTGATAGGACTGGATGCCATTATCTTTGTTTTTTGAACATTGAGTTTTAAACCAGCTTTTTCACTCTCCTCTTTCACCTTCATCAAGAGGCTCTTTTGTTCTTCTTCACTTTCTGCCATAAGGGTGGTGTCATCTGCATATGTGAGGTTATTGGTATTTCTCCTTTCAATCGTGATTCCAGTTTGAGCTTTATCCAGCCCAGCATTTCACTTGATGTACTCTGCATATAAGTTAAATAAGCAGGGTGACAACACATAGCGTTGGCATACTCCTTTCCCAATTTTGAACTAGTCCGTTGTTCCATGTCCAGTTCTAACTGCTGCTTCATGACCTGCATACAGGTTTCTCAGGAGGCACATCAGCTGGTCTGGTATTCCCATCTTGTTAAGAATTTCCCACAGTTTGGGGACTTCTCTGGTGGTCTAGTGGCTAAGACTTTGCACTCTCAGTGTGGGGGGCCCGGGTTCAATCGCCGGTCAGGGAACTAGATCCCATATGCTGCAACTAAGAGTTCCCACAACTAAGACTTGCATAGCCAAATAAATAAATAAAATTTAAAAATAAAAAGAATTTCCCACAGTTTGTAGTGATCTACACAGTCAAAGGCTTTATCGTAGTCAATGAAGCAGAAGTAGATGTTTTAGCTGATATATTTCTCCTTAAATCCTTTGTTGGAGAGCAGGGTTCCAGAAAGAAGGGAAAAAAAGACACATAGGTTTGCTCCCATTGTTTTAAATTCTGAGCTTATACTAAGTGGCATTACTGATAGAATTTTTTTTGACTGCTAGTGTAATGGTTATGCAATGGGTATTTTTCCTTTTTGAAGATGAATGTATGGATTACATGTCTGTAGCTCAATCTGCAAGCTAGCTATTGCAGAGAAGAACCTGTTAATCTAGCAGAGTTCTCTGTGAGCTTTTTGTCCCTGAAGAACGCCGGTTGATCATGGGGGTTTAATAATCTGTGCTAGCAATGACTCGCTTGATTCTTCCCCCTGTGGCAGCAGCATTCAGCTCCATAAGCTTTTAGAATGAAAAATCGGGTTACCTAGAAGGAGATTCATGCAGACAGCATCTACCTTCTTCATTTTATGCAACTCAAAGTAGTTTAATCAAGTATAGTCACGGTTCCTACTTGTATTACGTACCCAGTGGGTTTAAAAGAAACTGCCTTGTTATAATCAGCCCATTTTCTGTCTACTCT